TTCAGCTCATTAATTGGGGTGTTAAAACCTAGAATCAAATACTGGTTTGGAAAAATCATGCATTTTTAATGAAACTTGTGCTTTAAGGTGGATTATAAAAGCGATGCTTCTGCAGCAGTTAAGTTGAATCAAGCCTTCAAAGTTAGTGCACACCACTCCCTGAGCTGTCCAAACTATTGTTCCAAAAACTAAATTTCAGACCTACTCATGAGGGTTTTGTTACACCTTCCCAAGTGGTTCTGATTTTAAATCCTAACCAAGTGATGTCACCTCATAAAGAAAAGGTCACGGACTGGGTTAAATGTAACCATGGCAACCTGCGTCATCTCTCAAACGTGTTTTTTTTTAATTCACGTATTTTTATCAAATGTATTTTTCTTTACTATGGTGTTAATACAGACAGCTGTGAAAGGCTTTGATGGAACAGTGTAAGCTGTGTAGATAAATGAACTGTGGAGAACTTCAGTTTCTGAAAAGCTTACAGATTAATCGGTCTGTGAAAACTTCTTTCTCTGCAGGAATATCACTAAAATGACATTTTCATTTCCACCTGTGTTAGAAGCTGCTGTAAAAATTGAATCACGGCCTACTTAAATCGCTTTCAATTCAACCAAACATCAACTTCGGGTCGTTAAAAACTTCCTCCACAAATAATTGATTTTTTCCTCACAGAAATCTTTAAAGGGCTTGCTTTGTTCATCTCTAAGCAGTGAGTGACTTTAATTTTTCCATTCTTCTTTTCACTACAAGAGACTAAGAATTGTCACTTTTACCTTGTAATTTTTGTTTTATTCCGGCCTTATAGAATAAAAACCTGACCCGCATTTCCTCTTTTGTAGCCTTCAATTCACTATTCTGACTTTGAGAGGTAGCTCTACTTCCTGCTGAATGTATTGTTCTTAAAATACATCTGATATGTAATTAGTCCTACAGATCATAAAAGTAATCACGTTGGGAAATATGTACGTTTAAGGGAAGTGCGTGAGTTAAAGGTAAGGTGACTTCTATTTTTGCGACATCAAGTAAACGGTTTCATGAGTCAGTTGTCACATTTTTCAGGAGTCTTATCAAAATGGTTTGGTCAAAATATCCCACTGATCCTCTATTGCAGCATCATGTTCTTGCTTAATTCAGTGAGCACTAACTAAATTAAGTGAATCCTTCAATCACAACAGTAACACTAAAAACTGTCTTTATATATACAGTAGATTAAGTTATTTTACGCATCCCGCATGGCTAACTGTTTCATGTCTGTTACTGGTCCGCTACTGTTGGTGCTCTCCTCACTGGCAATGGATAAACTTGGCGTTCAATCTGGCCGGAAGACCAGATGTGCTTAATGACAAACTACTCATCAAACCACAGCCACAAAGTTGCACATTGTGCAAACTACAGAATAAATCTTTGCAAGTTTTTGAGAATTGCCCTAATGTTTGCTGTTTTTTTCTATTTGTTTTTGTTTTTTTGACAGGAAAAGTTTTGTATTTTGTTTGCATGGTTTCAACACTTCTTTCCCATTATTATTTATGGTACTTGCGTTTGATTCAAATATGTGAAACATGTTTGTGAAATTTTGCTTTACAAGGACACCCAGAAAGGAGATCTCATATATCAGCGAGACTCATCTCATCTATAAAAGGATGGCTAAATATTACCGAAGCCTGAAACTGTTTGGCATTGCACAAAAAATTAAATAAACTTATAAGTGTTCAAAATACATTGGTGAACATGACAAAACCCCAAAAAGAAATAAGTTACACCCAAAAAACACTATACATTGATTTCACTTTTGTCCCATGTAATGTTTAAGTGAGAAACGCAGTGGGGGGACCTTGTAGAGTTCAATATTTTGCCCAGAGCAGTTTGTAGACTAGTGAAGTTAAAGGATCAAACCAGCTGAAATTGTTTCAAAGAGCTGAGCGGCAGCAGCCTAATTGGAAGCTGTTTTCCCACCCTCAGATAAAAGTATCTTTATTACTTGTGGCCTATACATTTTCTTTATATTCACATAAGCAACTTTGCTTTTTTTACATTTTGAAAGGAAGCAGTTTTCCCATTTAAACGATTCTCTCTCGTTTAATCACACAACTACACTCAATCCAGTTCATTCACAAACCACTCTAACAACAAAAGGGTTCTGCCATAGTTTCTGCTTTTAAAATTAAGCTTTGGTTTTGTGTATATTATTGGAAATAATTGTTATGTTTTATTCATCTTGTTTGAAATAATTCCTTATGTAGGTTGTCTTGAGAGGTTTCCGATGATTTTTCCGGCCTATTTCAATCCATGAGATGGACAAAATAACAGGAATAGTCAAGGACTGAAATATTGTCAAGACCAGCTTTTACAGGCAGGAGCAATTAAGGGAGCTTCACATGACAAATTATCACAATATAAATATTCTATGTACTAAACTACTAAACTAAACTTTGTGTGTATGATGCCAGTTTTCATCGTCTGAAAGATGTCATTTGTGTTACATTTATTTTGGAAGAATTAGATAGAAGAGCAAAACAAACCAACAACCAGAGGATTGCACATGGAGTAGCTGTCGTAGAAGAAGCTTCTTTGTGTTCCTCCCCTCAGGTGAACAAGTTCACGCCCCTCTGTCATTGGGATTTCATTTTATCATGGCAATAGAATATGCAAAAGGACTATTTCGGAACAACTTCAAACATTTTTTCGGGACAGTAAGTTACACCATCAAGCAGATCAGTCAAATTCATGCTCAGTTACTGAAACATTCCTCATTCAAACCATCTCAAAATTACTTTGACCTGTTCCCAAAATGGCACATGAGAACAATGACTGTATAAAAAGAGAAGAACAAAAGAATGAACAGATATCCCAAACATTTACTTGAGCAGTGCTGCTCTCTAGTGATAAAAGTTAAGTATTGCACCGTTTCATTTTCGCTTTGCTCCACAACAGAGCAGTCAGAAAACACAAAAGACCCAAAGAGTTTACCATCGACTTAATGTAAAAAATGTCAAACCCACATGACTTTAAGATAAATTTTTGTTCATCACACAGGGGTTTGTTAAAGTAATCTATTAGCAGCCATGAGCATGTATGTGTCTACAGTTTCCAGCAGAAGTGAGCCAAATCACCACAGTTATACTGTATTTTGAAGCAAAAGAAGGATGCTCCCAGCATTAAATTGCAGCTGGTCTATAGGCTTCTGAGGGAGCAGCACATGGAGGCCTAAAATCCTAGATCAAGCAGACTGAAAGTGAGCACCACATCAAGGCATGAATACATTAAACTTTGATCTCTAAGAAACAGAAAAAGCCTCTTCATCACAGACATGGGTTTAAGATGCAAAAATAAAGAATGCAAGACTCTGGTCAGCAACGGCGGTCCCATAGAGGGAGTAGCATCTCTGAACATCTTCTCAGGAATGGAATGAGACCCAATGCTCAGAGTCAGTGAGTGACAGGAAAAAAGTCCTGCTGATAATGACCAGGAACCAGTTAAGTTCTGTTGGGAGGCAAACGGCAGAGAAAAGGTTTGAGTACGACTGTGGGAATGCTGAAGTCTGGGGGTGAACTGCTGGCTTTGGAGCAGGACACCTGCATAGTATTGGCTGTACACGGATCAATGGAAGCTGCAGACTGGTTTGAAAGTGTGCGGAGAGGGATTTATAATGCAGCAGGCTTATGGCCCCTAACACACTTCAAAGGTATAGAAAATCTGCCTCAAGACAAAAAAGGACCAAAAAGGAGAAGTTCTCACTGATTTCCCCCGAAATACCCTGACATGAACCCCAATGAATATTTAAGGGATCCCTTCAAATGTTCAGAAACCAATTCCTATCATCACAATGGGGTAATATGGATGATAACAATTCTGTCAATACAAACTGATGCAGGTAAAGCTGATAAATGTAATGGAATGTATAATGAATTGACATATTTAACTCAGTGTAAGTATTTGTAAGAAAGGTGGGATTTTTCAAACAAACAAGTATCCTATACTTGCAGTCTCTGGCTTGTGGACATAATCAATATGATGATTTTTTAAAATTGATGATGCCACAGGAACAATAAATAAAGAGTCTTACAAGCTATAATCAGAGAAAAGTGGTAAAATTGAAAAATATTTCCAGCTTTAGTGGTAGATATTTCTTTGTAAACGGTACCACGATTGTAAGATAGAGACATCCTGGTTTCTTTTGTAAGGTGACATAGCAACACTGTAAAGAAAGCGGAAAAAACTTTCCGGAGTGTGAAACCACATGATTATATAATCGAACTAGTCTTACCCAACACATTTTGAAAAGCAATGAGGCAGACTTTAAAAATCATAAATAAAGTGTCATACAATTAAGTTGGGATCAAAATAATCGATATTTTTCTTGTGATGTCCATCAGGATTTCAGCTATTCCATTCTTGGAGGGCATAAAGTTGCTTTTTTTTCATTATCTGGCAAATATCTTACAGCACGCAATTCTATTTTATTCTATCTTGGGATCATCTTACCTTAATAACCCAAAAAATACACAGTATTGTTCCAAACCAAGTATTTGGCACTCAACAGTCCTTTCACATAGCTGCAAATAAACAAAGCCACAATACAATCCATTATCACCTTTTAATTTTCTTTGTTGTTAATGTTGTTGCTTTTTCTGTTCATCAAAAAAACCCATAAATGCATTCTTGTTTTGATCAACTCAGTATGCAGAGTGAATTTCACAGCTGCAGAAGTAATAGGAGGAAGTAGTGGAAATCTAAATATGAAAAAAGTACTTTTGAAAGGCTTGGTATAATTGGAGATGGAAGACCCTGAATGCATGTAGGTGCTCACTTTCACATTATTTGATCCTGAGGATGCTGGTTGAAGTCAGATCAAGCAGTTTTTTGCTCTTTATCCTCAGTGGTAGGACTGTGTTGCAATCTCACACAAGGAAGGAAGAGAGAGAAGAAATAGAGAGAGGAGAAAGAGAGAGAGAGAGAGAGAGAGAGAGAGGGTGGTTATTGTTGAAATAGCAAGCAACCACTGCCCTCTCACTTGAGGTGCGGCTCAATTGGTTCCAAACGCAACAGAGATAAGACAGGTAAGTCAGCCAAACTTTTTCCACCAAGATAATTTTGAGTTGCGATTATAGCCCGACTGCAAGATTTGGGTCATTTAAGTTCTGAAAAAAAAACTTTTAACCGTGACTATCATCTGTAAGTTTGGCACATGTTAACATATTTATTCTTGTAAAGACCAACTGAAATGCGTTCACCAAAAAAAAAATCCAAGCACGTTGCTACAAACAAGCAGGTGCAGATTCAGACAGGACCCTGGGGCTGCCTGAAAGTACGACCTACAGATTCCTTTCACATTAATCATTACCATTAATACTTGTACAGGGTGTGCGTGTATGAATTAAAAGTTCTTTTCATCATGGGGTAATGTTCTTTGGAGGGAAAATGTTGGTCAGAGTCTCTAGCTTATTCCCTTAAGAGGAATGTTTAAGAGCAGAAATACAAAAAGGAAGTCTTGTTTAGTGGTGTGAATTTCATGTTAAATTTGTGGTGTCTGCAACTGCCTTCCTTCCCTCTTTCTACCAATTCAGCAAATTTGAGACGTATTACCAAATTTCAGCGTAACATTTATCTTTATTCACTTTCACTCTTTTTTTTTTACATTTCAGCTCATCTTCCGCATAGCATCACCTCAGTGGCCAATATGAATGGCACGCGTTCAGTAAACCAGCATCTAAGTAGCTCCAGCACCTCTGAGCTGGCAGTGTCCAGAGGAATCCAAATCGCAGTGACTCTGGTCATCTTCCTGGTGAGCGACTCATGGATGCATGAAACACTTCACTCTGCATCTGCATGCAGGATTGGAGACACTGAAAGAGAGGGGCTGCAGAGTGGCAAATCCAATACTTCTTTGACAGCTGGGTTATTGTGTTTCTACTGGGACTTATTGGCTAAAAATACCTTTGAAGCAGTGATTTTCTTTCGATTAGAAAGAAAAATAGATAAAGTGTGTTCATTATTAGGCTTTTGAGTTACTCAGTGTGAATTTTTCACCTTGGATTTGGGTTATAAATGACCACAGAGTTGTAAAAATCCTCATCTCTGACAAGAAGATGTTACCCCTCTAAACTCTTTAATGATGGCTGTGTCTCTGTGGCACTTACAGGTGGGAATACCGTTGAACGGACTGGTGGTTTGGTCACTGGGACGACGAAACAATCGCCACCTGATACACAGAGGCCGCACCGGGGAGACGCGCTCTGCCAGCAGCTTCCGGGTCTACGTCCTGAACCTGGCTCTGGCCGACCTGATCCTGCTCCTTCGAACGCCTCTCATGTTGGGCTACCTAATCAACGGCTTCAGCTGGCCGTTCGGCCCCGTCTTCTGCCACCTGATCATGTTCCTGCGAGGCCTGGGGCTGTACGCCTCGGCTTTCCTCCTGTGCGCCGTGTCTCTGGAGCGCTGCCTGTGCCTGCTGAGGCCTGTGTGGGCTCAACTGCACCGTCCTTCCTGGGCCGTGCCTCTGGTTTGTGGGCTCTTGTGGCTGGTGGCCACCACGGTGTCTGCCCCCTACCTCCACTTCGCCAAGCTCGAGCAATGGAACAAGACCCTCCAGTGCATTGACAGCGGGGATTTCAGTTTGGGTTTGTTCGTCACGGAGACGATTGCGGGGTTCTTGTTGCCCCTGCTGGTGTTTCTGGGAAGTAACCTGGCCGTTTTACTCACCGTGAAACAGGTAGTGCCTCCGACACCCACCTCGCCCTCCTCCTCCCTTTCCATGGCGCGCAAGATGTCCAGGATGTACCACGTGCTCTCCTTCACCATGCTGCTCTTTCTAACCTGCTGGGTGCCGTATTTTGTTTTCCGGTTCCTGCAGGCTCTGTCACAGAAACCATCAAAAATGTACAATTTAGCCAGTACTGGCAAATACATATCTCTGTTCCTGGTGTACTTCAAAAGTGCTCTTAATCCTGTACTGTATGTGTTCGCTGCCAGAGGCTTGGGCCGCGCTGTCAAGGCCTCACTGGTGTCCACCATAGGACGACTTTTCTCCGATGAGTCCTTCGATTCCATCAGAAGGAAGTCAAGATCTCAAACTCAGGAACACACCGGTGCTAACTGAGAGATTCTGCATTACTCCTTTTCTGTTTGCGCCAAGAAACGTCCTTCTTCCCTGCAGCTCTGCCAAACATGGACAGAACAAATGTGCTAAATGACAGTGAAGCACTTTGTGTGCTAAAAACTTGTGAATAAAAGTGAGAGACGTATCCCATCTTTTTTATCATGTTGAAAATCTAATGTCTTAGATGTGATCCTGACACATCAAAATAAACAATAAAAGTAAAGAAAAGTTCACTTTCGTTATAGTCCCTTAATTTCAAGATGAGGGGAAACGTTCAGGCTTCCAAACAAGAAAAACGGGGGCAGGCACTTTGACAGGAGGGATGAGATCCATTTCCTTGTTCATATGGGGGCCGTGGGCCAGTCCAGGCACAAATGTTTTACTTGCTAATTCCTGACATTTGTCAGCTGAACACACAAACCATCCAACAGCTCATCGGGCGGATATTTTGCTGTTAGGAAAGAGCAACGAGCTGCCTTTGTTCGGGCATGAAGCAGGCATGGTCATGGTCACAAATAATCATTCCTGATGCATCTTGTCAGAACATCAGAAACAGCAGAACATCATTTTGACAGCTTTCTGGCCCAGAGGCAAGACTTGTGCCACGGATTCCAGCAAGGCAACCGGCTGTTCAACCATTGCCATCCTAGCAAAATATAAATCAATAAAATTGTCAGTGCTGCATCTTTGGCAACATGAAAGCAAAGCAACCAAAGACTTTTGCTTTACTTTCAATTTAACTGGCAGAAGATTGGCCCTTTGACCTGCTTCACTTGGTGGTTCTGTGGTTCTACAATAAGAATAAGCCTCAGCACCTGCATTGCCACTGGTTGCTGCAGGGTGGGAGGACACTGTCAAAAACAGTTGAGATGACATCATGTGTTCTTTTTGGATGGGGATTTAGTTTTCCATTTCTAAACATTTATGCTCTGACAGCAAACGGGCTGCTACTGAAGAAGACGGCGTAAGATCTCAGCGGGAGCTTTGACAGCCCGGATTGGGGGTGCGTTACAGTGTGGACTGTTTTTCTAAGATCGTCAACACCTCAGTTCAGAGGAAGTTACTGGTGGTTGATATTTGTTCCAGGCTATAACGGGCCCTCGTCCACATCTGTCAGTGCAATGTTATCCCATGCTGAGTGTTTTCTATGCCTGTTGAATTTTAAAAAGGGGGTAGAAACTAAATGTTCTGCCGGATGCTAATCTCATTTTGAATTCTCAACCGTAACTAGACAATTTCTGTACCAGATGAAACAGTTAAAAGATCATCCATAAAATAAATGGGAAGCGAATGAAAGGGCTTGTTCGCCAAATCAACTACCAACTGATCTTTATTTGTATGCACAGTAGCAGTTTGTTCAAATACATTATTATTGTGATAAGAACTTTAAGGTTAACATACTTTTCAATTCAATTAAGAAAAGAGAAAAATAATTATATTTGACATTAATGACAGATTCGGTTTTACCATTTGGTTTAACACCCTCTAACTCGAGGCCCCACTGCTGAGTGGGTTGAAGAGCTGATCAGCTTGTTTCTGTGCCCGTAGAAGCAGTAACTGGTCATCCTGGGTGCTTTCTGGATTCTGCAGAATTTCCCCCAATCTCTGGGCAATGGAGTTGTGGTCCCTGTCGGGAATGATCGCTCTTAAACGAGACTGAAGGGGAAAAGTGAAAAAGAGTGGTGAACCTTAATGGTGGTAAATATAAAGACACCTCTCTATCAATTTTCTATACCCTTCAAATATATTTGAGCAGCACGGGGGTGCTGGAGTCTATCTCAGATGCTTTTGGGCAATAGGCTTGGTACACCCTGACACACGGAGAAACAACCTCTCACGCTGATTTCCGGGGACAATGTTAACCGATTACCACCGATTATCCTTCCAGGCATGCCTCACCAAGTTTTAGGATGTTAAGATTTGCTTATGTTATGTTGTCATTGTGCATTTCAGAAAGAAATATTTCACAATTTAACAAAGGTGTTTCAAAACATTCTAAACTTCCCGTTCAAACTGCAGAGGAAGTGCACACTGTGACATTTTCTCATCTCATTCATAAAGAGGAGCTGTGGGGCAACATGTCCAGCTCTGGTACTCGGCGTACCTCTATGGTTGATTCGCCTTTCTGTGAAGGGAGAGCGGGAAGCCCGAGGACACTTTGATCCATCATTTCAAAAATCTGTGCAAAGACATGGAATAAAGGTTTGTGAAAAATAATGTTTCTTGCAACGTTCTAATCACATACAAGTAATGTTTCCTGTTATTGGTGTTCATATCCGTTCTAAAGAAAAACCACTCGATCAGACCCTTCCTGGAAGCAACCTGTCGATATGTTCTGCAACCAAATGTGAAAGACCTGTCTAGACTCACTTAAATGAAACACCAACTCTATGTGGTAAAACTGAGCGAAACCACTTCTGTTTATCTGATCAACTGCTCAATATGGTTAAGTGTTTTTTAAAATAATAGCCCCTTCTTTACTTTGGTCTGCTTGTGCGTGTGTTTTGCACCTTTTTGGCCTTCTCCTCCTCCTCCTCCAACTCGCCTCTCATCATATTGCATGAGTGCTGCAAAGCCACGATCTTCTCCTCTGTCCGCTCCAGTGCACTAACAACAGCCTTTAAGTCCTCCTGAACAACCAAAACAGTAAAGAAGGCATCATGTAAACACCAACACACACACATATGCAATCGACCATCCTGCTGTTTTTTGCCTGAAAGGTTCACCTCGCGGCCACTTTAGTGGTATTTCCAAATTTCTTTTCAGCATATCAGCATAGCTAATTAACCCTTTTTTTCCATATCATGATAAATGCATGGTGAGGAGAAACATATTTCTGACTAAATGTATTATTGGCAAAGAGAGGTAAGACAAAGCTCATTTGCGGGGGGGTTTTCAGTTAATTACATCCGATTATGTGGCTAGAGCTCCACACGGAGATTCCCACGAAGGTGACAGCTGTGTTCTCTGTGACAGAGTGGATGGACATGAGAACAGAGAGAACTCAAAATGAAACTAAACAAGGCACTTAAGTTGTATAGTGAGTTTTTAACATGGTTACAAACAGCAATAAACAACCTAAAACGTTGCCCATAAATGCTGAGCCAGGTGAATGTTCATGGGGTTTTTGCACTGTTTTTAAATTATTCACAATAGCATGAAAGTGTCCAAAATAAGATCTATATCAAATAAATCATTAATTATTTTAAAATGGACTGGATTTTACCACAGCATCGAATGTAACTAAAAATTGTATAAAATATTCTTCTTATTTCTTGTGAAATCATATTGATTTATTATGATTAGTAATGTTATATTTAGTTCATTGTCCATCCATTAATTCATGTTCTATATCAGCTGGATTCAGTTCAGACAGGTCCCTGGACACTCATTCATAATTATCAAACATTAAATCTTAGGATAATGGATTAATAATGCACAATGCAAATAAGTGAGAAAAAATCTACAACTCCAGTAGCCACACTGAAAAACTTATCTCTTAGCCCTCACAAAGATTTAGAAAAAGATGGATCTACATAGGATATATGTTTATATTCCAAGTGACGCTGGCATTTTCCCAACTGTGCTTCTTTAATCTTTTTTATCAGTTTCTTCTATCCATTAATCCCCTTTGAGACTTGGGAGCTTCTCACCTCCAGGGAGCGCAGAGTTTGCTTCCCAGCAGCTGCCTTCTTGGTCTCCTCCTGGAGCCGCTGAGATGACAGCTGCAGACTACTCTGTTTCTGGGATGGAACTTTAAGCTCTGCACACTGAGCTAAAAACCTGGAATATGTTTTGGAAAAACTCAGGATTAAACTTTGACATTTACAACATACTGAATATTTTACCGACATTTACTATCGTCACATTAAATTCTTCGAGGGAAAGATTAGCCAAATATGGAATTTAATAATAATTCTTCATCATGGAATATTCACGCCATGAATGAGAAACATGAAAGTTGAGTGCTCCAAGTCTACTATAAAAATGAGGAACTTGATCCTAAAATTAAAAAACTTCAAGCATAAACACAACCAATCGTGCACATCTGTAGCACTGCTGACTCAGTCATATTTTTGTGAGAGTTCAAAATTAAGAACACAATTTACATCAACTTGTCACACAGCAGGATGAGACTAAAATTAGTAAGACTTTTTACGTAAGTCAATTATCTCACACATAGTGACTCGAACTGCCTCTACAAATGAGGACCAGTATGAATACAAAGATAGAGTGGACGTTGTTTTTGTGGAGTGAGAAGCTGGAAAAATACCTGAAGTTAATCTAACAAACTCTTATTTCCAGTCTTGGATAAATGCTCACCTCTTTTTTATTGTGTTCAGATGTTCCTGGCTTTCTTTCTTCTCTGTCCGCCTCACAGCAAGCGCAGCTCTTTTAAAAAATAAAGAAATGTTTCCTGTTATTAGTCTGAATATTTCTAAATCCCTTTTCCATGAATGTTTATTTTACTTCTTTAAGAACACATATGTGATTTATTTATGATGAAAGTATTTAATCAGTGATCAGATCAGTAAAAGAGAAGGGTGCATTTTCGAAACACAGTGAGACTGTTTCAGTTGTCTGCTGTTAAGTTGTCACTCTTCGTGTCAAAGAACAAAAAAAAGGCTGTGTTATTAATGTCTAAATTAATTTTCCATCACACAGGCTCTAAAATTAAGGTTTTGATTATCCTGTGATGTTATTTAGGCTAAATTAAGAGCTAAGGGGACTCCAACATGAAAATAGATAAGACACTGTTTATCATCTTATCTGGGATTTCTGATACAATGCACTGTCACTTTATGTAAAGACAGTAAGGGACTAATTTACTGCTCAGTGATGATTCCTATCAGTAAAATTACGTTAGTTCCAAATATAGAAGAGTGTAAATATTTAGGGTAATTGCTTTATCTCTTTTCCTCTGACGTGTTTCTCATCAACAGGTTGAAGTAAGATCAAATTGGAGGGAAAGAGGGTGTCTGATCGGAATCAGACACCCTCTCTCCCTCACAGCATCAGTACTTCGTCGTTATGTTACGAGATTTTTCAAAAGAACCAATCTTGTTCTGGAAGAGGCGCTTTACATATGTTGATCTTTTGTAGTGGGACCTAACTTACCTCGGAGTGGGTTAGTTCAGCTTGAGCTGCCACAATAAAAAAATATGTGATAAGAAGTGATACTGAAAATCCAACTAAACCACTCATTGTGAGATACAGCTTTAGTCATCCCTCTGTCAGTTAATGTGGATTACCCATGATTAATAAATGAGAGTTTTCACCAAATCTGCTCTCTGGAATTAATCTTTGAGTACAGACATTTGGGAATAGAAACCATAACTCTGAAAATGATCATATTGGAACTTACAGTACTGATAGGTCCAGTATATTCTCAAGAGCAATGATGGAGGACCTCGGCATCAGACTCCAGTTTTCTTGAATTTTCCTCTTTTTAGAGGCTGTGGATGTCCCTCCTTCTGCATTTCGGGACAGGAGAAGCATTAGAACCAATTTCATTGAGGTGAATTAAATACATATTTGTGTTCTTTCTTAAAACACAAGGCTTGCCTGTCCTCCTTTTTGCTGCTTTAGGGTGGGTGATTTTGTCATTGTGTCCCTGGTCCTAGAAATGTTGAAGACGGTTCAGCTGATTGAGTCGTGTCGTTGGTATCTTCCATATTTAGGCCAACTTACCCTACTCTGTGCCACTTCAGTTGCTTTGTCTTTCGAGTTGGGTCCTTTGGATGGGGCTCGATTAGATGCTCGTACAGCCTTCATGACGGCTAAAAATGTATTCAAGCTAACGCAGTGATATCACGTTTAGCTAAGCTAACGTTAACGAAGTTAAACTATTGATGCAACAGCATAGGACAATACTAAAGAACTTTAAAGCACTAAATGATACATATAGTAGTTTACAAACCCCTTAAACTAATCGTGAGTTTATCATCCATCGACATGCGTTTTCGCGCTATTGTTTTCGAATATTTCAGAGAAAGGCGCATGCGCAGTCTTGAAAACGTTTACCACGCTCGAAACTTGGTGCCTCGCGCCTCCTCCCCACCCCCTAATAAACCGGAGGGACTGGTTTTAACGCTGGACGGTCGCTCTTTCACTTTAGACGGTTAGACTTAGATATGGAGAACTTGTTTCATGTCGTTGGATTTTTCGAAACGTTTAAAGGAGGAATTCGATCAGGACACATCAGCCGTCCCATTTCTTTCTCAGGGATGTTATCATGAAATCAAATAAGCCCATACGGTGAGAAAAGAGTGGAAAAATAATGAGAATGGACAGTGGACTCCTTTCTGTCTCTTCCTGTGTGTCTGAGGCCTGAATATTTATCCTGTATGTGTCTAATAAACTGAGCTCAAAACTGCCGAAAGAAGCGGTTTCACTTGCATTGAGTGTTTCTGCCCTCCTCCGCCAAAAAGTCAGATCAATTCTGATTATTTCTGTTCTACATTTGGTTCTTTCAGTGTGTCTGTGACTGACATGGATATACAGATGGTTTAGCATAAAATAGTCCTTAAATGATCCCTGGTGGTAATATCACAATTTTTTAGTTGGTTTCGTTACTTGTTCCCTATATCTTAACTAATTTCGTTGGAAAAATGTTTTACATCTACTATGAAAAAGATTGCCAGAACAGAACAACCTCAGTCATAATAAAAACACGCAATAAGGACCAGAAAATCTGACATTTTGAACCTTGAAAAAAAAAATCTTTGTTTAGATGTTTCAAAGATGTATGTATGGATGCATGCATGTATGTATACATATATATATATAAAAATTGTGAATTTAAAAACGATTAATCAAAATCAGTTAAATGTAAATGTTTGTGCTCTGTATCCAGAAAGCCACATCTACTTTTCAGGATCTGGTTATTATGGACACAGATTACATGTTAAATTTCAATATTTCAGTATTTATATCACAGAAACAGTTACAGGCTTTACTAGCTAAAAACACTCAGTATCAAAAGTACAGACGCTGGTTTACATTAAAACTGTATGTATGTATGTATGTATGTATGTATGTATGTATGTATGTATGTATGTATGTATGTATGTATGTATGTATGTATGTATGTATGTATGTA